CGGTTCGGCATCAGAGTCAATTCCATCGCTCAGCGATGATCGCTGTCGCCCGCAGAGAGTTCTTCATCGGCAACTCCACGTTCCATGAGGGTGGGCTATAAAACAGAGGCTATCTCACTACTGCCACGGATATCTGTACCACTGGCGTGAGGAGCAGAAACGGCCGAGTGATAGCGCCCTGAGGCGCCAACTCTCCTCCTTCAGATCGTCGTAGTGGGCCACTGCTAGTGGCATCTCCACGCCCGGCACGACGGACCCGCGTGCAACCCAACATCGCTTTCTCTACTTGGACTCGTATTCATATCGGAGTAATAGTGACGGGATACACCGAAGATTACGATCCAAATAAAACCCCTGAAGTACGTAGGACTCTCGAAACGTAACGAGCTGCGAGAATACGGACTTCCCGATTCACGTCACAGATCAGAACCGAATATCGGACGCGTCACAGACATATCTTGTAATCTCATAAGTGGCTATTTCTCAATAAGCCTGATGATGACTCATTATTAAACGTTATGAGTAAACGAAAGAGAAAAGTAGACAGGATCAATCATGAACCCTCGTCTGAATAATCGACAACTGAAGCAGCGCCTCGGGACTCGAGATATCTTAGTTGACATGAGGTAGGTCCCAGTGTGAACCGCACCCGTCAAGAACCATTCTACCATTATAAGGGTATGCATTCCAGCGACAATGATCACCCACACCGATAGCTTCAGCTAGTTGATTCAGACATTCTGTGGTGGGATCTCCCGTCGGAGCAATAAAATCAACTTGGCTAAGTAGATCGACATTGTTCTCACTTCCATTAGTCTTGCCGAGCATTTTCGATAAGCCGTAGATAAAGTGGCAGTTGACGCACTCGCCCCCATTAGTTCTCCTGACCAGCTCAACGTCGGCCGTAATTTGCATCTTAGACGAGCTCTTCACATTTATAGTGCAAAAGAAGCGATAGTCATTATCCCATCCATGGTACTTGCCAAGGGCAGCCACCTCCGCTAGTTGGGGATTAACTAGGAGGCCAATAATCAGCACCACTTGGAATAAATTGCAGGGTGTCATTCTCATATTACTAAGTTGGTAGACTTGGGGTGGACAACTCCCGGAGATATGGGAATGATTGAACTCGAGCGAAGTTTATGACAGAACTGTAAGGAAAGAATTACACCACGCCGCAAAGCTTTTTTCCTACCATACAAGACGTCACAAATTCATTGTTACTCCTATTGACGAGGCAGAGCGCTTCGCACAAGTTTTGTGCGCAAAAGCTAGAAGAAACACAGGAACTTCTTCTGCTCATTCCATCATCCGTCCGCTCTTTGATAGGATTAACGAGGGTTCAGCACACAACTCGAACTTGAGCCAAGATGGCTACGGAATTCTCGACACTTAGCAAGAACAGATTGCACCGAACCCGCATGTTCGGTTGAACCGAACTTCGGTTCTAGCTAGAGCATCCGTACGCATGCACAAGCCAGTGGTAATACCTGTTTCGCACACAGGCTGTGCAAAATCTACCATACTATAAACTTGAAGGTTATAAGCTTGAAACGATAATACTCGGTGAAAAAGAGCAAATCTCATAACACGGATCTATGTTGACAGGCCCAGAAATCAAGAGTCTCGATCTCACCGAACTCATCATCCCATTCAACGTCAACCGGACCCGAGGCACGCATATCACGCACTGTACCCTTGAACCATCGGCGCACAGGTCGTCGCCGTTTGAGGAGGAACTATATTATACAGGACTCTAAATCTCATATCAATCAAACTCATCATAGAGTTTGACTAGGGCTTAGACTTATCATAGATAATCGGATCAGACGATGATGATTCAGTCCCATCAGGCCCTCCTTGGCGCCCGGGGGATAACGATGGAGAGGAAGAACCAGAGATATCAGGCCGGCGCCACGTAACGTCTGATAAACATACAGACTCCGGGGAATCATCGTCCTCAAACTGAATCCAAACACGACCAGGACCAGAGGGATCATAGGTAATAACTCCACGATGCCAGGAAGACTGCACGATACATACTCGGTCCAGAGAACTGTTCTCTGAGAACATACTTGTTCTGCTGCAGGATGAGAGCCGAACAATCGAACCTGTGCTCGTGCTATACATCGTTGCTGGTCTTTACGACTCGTTGCTTGTTCTGAGCGAACATGCGGCATCGGGGCAACGAAGGAAACAACTAAACCTTACTCGCTACGCTATGGGAAAAAACGTTCTAAACTTTCTCGCTTACGCTACGGGAGCCACTACGCTGAAAAAATAATAAAGATAGAGGAATAGACACGTCAGCATAAGGTAGACTCTTACTGACATGGTCCGACAAGGATAGAGTTTCTGTAACAGGAATAATCTGGGACGAACACTCCTGGAAGTTCCAGGCTGGAACACTCACAGACGTTTCGTTAGTAACGAATCGTTACCCAATCGACCTTGTTTCCGAAGTTCGGAGATGACTTGGAACGTGAGGTGGCAGTATCCACGCTCCGCTTGCTTGATAGCTCCGGTCTTGCGAAA